CAGGATCTTAGTTCAAGGGCTGTAAGCAAGCTTGACCAAACTCAGGGCCTTAACTAAAGTTTAAGGTCTGCTAAATGTTCCCTCACAGTAGTAAGTAATAAGGTACACAGGTGACCCCAAATACTTACAAATAAAGCTGCACAGTTAGCTACCAACTGCCTCACTTATCAACAGTGAATGCCATGTGGGACAGGGTGAAAGTACACAGGCATTGCACTTTAGCATGCTCCATTATAGTGAGACTAGCAAAATGAAACAAATTCCTAGTGCAAATCTAGAGCTAGGAATTCCTGAAGCATGAATCTGCAGTGGGAGAATTTCACTGAGTTAAGGATTCATAAAATTCTCAAATGAATCAGAATTTGAAATGTTCTGCGATACAGTTAATATTTTCTTCCCACGTGCATTTTATAAATGTAGTTCTTTAAAAACAAAACAGAAGCAAAAATCTTCATTCATCACATTTTCCAAGTTCTGTTCTCACTTTTGTGATGCTCTCAGCCTGTCCAACTGAATAAGCAGTTACGAATGCACATTTTCTCTAAAACCTGGTCAGAATGTGTAGAATCTAAAGTAGGGTTGGTGTGAAAAGATGGATCTCCTACCCTGCACATGATCCAATTAGGGAAAACTTTCCAAGTGTTTCTGTGTTAACACAATAAAGATATTTAGATAAACCAATTCCCCCTCCCCACATTGAATATATTTAGTATGTGGTCCTACTTGCAAAATTCATAAAATAAATTAGAATTTATAACCCAGGTTTTATGAAGATTTTTGATCTATACCTGTATTTACAAAAGTCTCTGGGGACATCCAGTTTTAATTCTAATCTCAATAACATTACATCCCCAAGACACCATTTTCCTTCTCTTTTCAAAGAAGAAATTATGCCTTTGAATATACACAAACAAATCCCACTCCCAATAGAGACTCAGACGGATCAGAATTTGGCTATTAACATTAAGGCACTGATCCTGCAAATCACTCTTTGCACCCAGCTCTACAGTGGTCCTCCATGTGGATGCAGGGATATGGGAGCAGTTTGCAGAATTGGGACTTAATTGATTTTGGTGCTAGTGATTAAAAAAAAAGATGACAGACTGAAGAATGGAGAGTTCTATTTATCTACAAATACTGCATGTGCAGCCACAGTGCAAACTTCTTCTCAGTAGGTCTTCAATCTGTCTTAACCCTGACCTGAAGGGACTATTACTAGAGATGAGAGAATACTCCAATCTGTGAGCCCATTCTCATTGCTGACAAGATGCCCAACACAGATGCCAATTAGCAGTTAATTGTTTTGGCAGGTGTTGTGATGCCTAAAGGTTTTTTTTTTTTTGCTTATAGAAGGGGAATCCTAGCCATAAAAGTACTACTACTATCCTTTATTTAAAATAAAGCTACATTGAAGTGTCAAGATGATTATTTGATATCACAGAAATTCAAAGTAAGTCACCATGTTATCCTTTATTCACCCAAGCAGGTTTTGCATAGTTCTCAGAATGGCAAGCAGTTACTCTTACATCCTACATGAGCTGTTACTGCAAATTACTGAATTTTAACATGGGTAAGGGGAGAGGTAGAGCCATCCAGTGGTATTGAGAAGAAAGTACTCAGTGGTTAGAGTGGGAGCCTCGGACTCAGAAGCCTGGGACTCCCTCAAAAGCTCAATTCTTTGCCCACTACAGACTTCCTGTGTGATCCTGGACAGTCATTCAGCTTTTCAGTTTCTTCTGTAAAAATGAGAATAGTACTTCCCTATCTCACTGGGGTGCTGGAGGGATTTAGACATAGTAGACTGTGAGGTGCTCAGATACGAATGTGATGGTGGCCATATCAGTACCTAGAGAGAGATCTTCTCCTGATTAAACAGTTTGGCAAGCGTGTATCATTTGATGTAATCACAAGGCAAGAGACTCATAGAATCAATTAAAAATTACAAAAAAGAAATTGTCCTTCATGTGTACATACAAGTAGCCATAGATTAAAAAGAGAAAGGAATGGCTCAGCAATATCTAAAGAGTAAGTGTGAACTTCATCAAAGACAAAGAAATCCATCTTTTCTAAAAATAGCATAGACTGAGGGCTTGGCTACACTGTCAATGTGCGGCAAGCCAGGGACACTGCCACAGCTCAGTGAAAGTCCCACTGCACCATAGCAATGCTCATAGAGGACATTACTGCACGGCAAGCTAGTGAGCTGTAGTCACACCGTGGCTTGCCGCATAGTAAGTCACCGTGTAAGCAAGCCGAGAATACTGTGGTGAAAACTGGGCATTTGGAAGGGAAGTGACCCAACAGAGGCGCGCTCTCTCTCTCCTCCATTCTCTGTATAACTTTATCAATGAAAGTTTAATCATTTCTGAACTGTAACATATACAGTAAAAGCTATTTTATCCGGCATGTTGGGGGATGGGGGGTGCTGGTAAGTGAAAAATGCCAGTTAACCAAGAGGAAGAGACTTTGGGTGCAGGAGGGGGTGTGGAGCACAGGCTCTGGGATGGAGTTTGGGTGTGGGAGGGGGCTCAGGGCAGTGGTTTGGAGTATGGGAGGGGGTGTGGGGTGCCAGGTCTGGGGGGCGCTCAACTTGGGCAGCTCCCCACAAGCGGTGACCTATTCCAGCTGCTCCTAGGTGGAGACACAGCAGGCATCTCTGCACACTGCCTCCACCCACAAGCGCTGCCCCCGCAGCTCCCATTGGCTGCGTTTCCCAACCAATGGGAGCTGTGGAGCTAGCACTTAAGGTGGGGGCAGCGCACAGAGCTGCCTGCTGTGCCTCCACCTAGGAGAAGCCAGGTCAGGTTGCCACTTGCAGGGAGCCCAAGTTGAGCACCCTCTGGATCTGGCACCCCACACTCCCTTCTGTGCCCCAACCTGCTACCCTAAGCCCCCTCCCGCACCTAAACTCCCTCCCAGAGCCTGCGCTCCGCACCCCCTCCTGCACCCCAACCCCCTAATGGCCCCGCATCAACCTGACTATAAACCAGAATTTCAATGAAGATCAGAAATGCTGGTTTATAAAGCTTTCCGGATGATGAAGTGCCAGATAAAACAGCTTCTACTGTACATACATTGAGAGTTGTAGATAAGGCTAGTGTTTCCAGTCTTACTCTGAGGCCTTGCCTTCACTGCAAATAAAAGCATGTTCCTATCTCGAGTTAAGAGCACACCCTTTTTTCTTCAGTGAAGACAAGAACTGAGTATTCTTATTTTTGTGGGTTCAAACTAGAATCCAAGGCCTTGTCTACAGTAGCGGTGGCGTGTAGGGTACATGAACCTACATGCCAGTGAAAAGCAGGCTGCATCCACACTGCGGTGTGTAGCTACACTCGGCAGTGAAAGGCTCTGGCATGGTGGAGGAAATGGGGAAAGGCTCTGGCAGTGCCTTTTCCTGTGGTGTAGAAAAGAACTGGCAGCTCCCTGTGGCAGGGAAAGCATCCAGCAGTGGGGGAGGCAGCAGGACACTACACTGCTGAAAATAGCAGTGTAGATGGGGCAGACACTGCTTGACTGTGTAGAGCGCAGCATAGGATATATCCTAAGGCCTTGGCTACACTGGCAATTCACAGCGCTGCACTTGCTGCGCTCAGGGATGTGAAAAAACACCCCCCCGAGCGCAGCGCTGTAAAGCGCCAGTGTAATCAGAGCCTGCAGCGCTGCACACTCGCTCGCAGTGCTGCAAGCTATTCCCCTTGGAGAGGTGGAGTACTTGCAACGCTGCGAGAGAGCGCTCTCAGCACTGGCGGCACGACTACACTCGGCAGCACTGTGAATCCGCGAGTGTAGCCAAGGCCTAAGGCTCTGATGTACCTTTACTCGCCTAAGCAGTGCTTCACTGTCTACGCTGCTATGTATATCTATGCTAGCTGGGGCGCAGTGCATGCACACTACATGCCACTATAAGCATAGACATAGCCTGAGGGGTCTGTGAGGGCAGGCAAAGTGCTGTAAAAGGCATGGTCAGAAACAAGCAGGTCATTCATCCAGTTTGAAACTTGAAAGTCTTCCTTCTGGGTGGTTTGTGCCCCGGCCAGTACTGAGACAAAAGCGAATGTGGTTTTATCCAGCATTGGACAGGGAGAGGGTACCATTTTGAAAAATGCACCGCTCCATCACCCCCAGTCTGAACTGCACACAAAGTCACATCAGTGGGGGAGGGAGGGGGCAGAGCGAAGTTCTCTTAAAAATGGCATGCTCTGTGCAGCGTGATCTTGCATGCACATATGTGCGGGGTCACGCCAGCGGGATGAGTTCACACCATTTCTGGAAGTATTGGAATGTCCAGTATTCTGGGGATGTGTGAATGGCCACCCTAGTAGGAAATGGGGTGTCCCAGGCTAATGCAGGTAAGGTGGGGGTATAAAGGCCAGGGAGAGGACTGTGGGTTTGTAGGGATGGCCTATGGGGGTGGGGGGGGGAAGGTTCGAGCACTACTGTAAAATACAGATAAATGACAGTGTGTAGGGAGCAGAAGGGTGCAATGTGCTGTGTGGGGGCTCAGAGGAGTCGGTGCCATGTGAGTGGGGCAGAGCGGGTGGGAGGCATAATGGGGTGGCTGTGGGGAGTGCAGGGTACAGAGTGGCGCATGAGTGGCATGCAATGGAGCGAAAGCGAAGGGAGCACCTAGTGCTGTGGGAGGAGGCCCTGGCAAGGCGGATGAGAGCCCAGCGCTACGGCTGGTGGGCGTGGCGTGTAGGGGGAAATGTTTGAGCCACGCTAACCTTTGTCAATAACCACCCGGTTACACCGCATGTGGCCACGCGCCTTCCCTCCCTCCAGGCGCTGCCCCCTCCGACCCACCCTCAGCCCGGCCACCAGGGGCAACAAGCAGCACCAGCAGAGCACCCCCTCGCCGGGCCGGGCCCCCTAAGGCGGGGGAAGGAGGCTAAACATTCCAGAGCCCGGCGGGGTTCTAGAACGCTGGACGGCAGCCCGGAGCGTTCTCGAATGCTGGGAGGCGGCGGCCCCCTGGGCCCAGCGCGCGCTCGCTCGCTCACCTTCCCGTCCGGGCCGAAGGGGAGGGACTCAGGCTCTTCCCCGACTGGGGAGGGCGCCGGGTCCCGCTGGGTCTCCGCGGCCTCGCTTGGACTCGAGGAGGCGGCGGCGGCTTCGTGGAGCTGGTAGTCCGGGTAGGGATTGCTGAACGCCCGCTCCTCCATCTCCGCCTCGCCCCCCAGCTGCAGCTTCAGTCGCTTGGACATGCTCTCTCCCATGGCAGCCTGCCCCCGGCCCGCCCCCTGCTGCACGGCGAGCCGCCGGGGACACGCGCCCGCCCCGAGAGCAGCAACGCGCTCCCTGCTGCAGCGCCAGCACTACGCCAAGGGCTGGGGCAAAACGCGCCTTGTCTTGATAATGCGGTGGGGGGCGGCTTGCCTAGCACTTAACACGGCTGCCGGCACAGCTGGAAGGTATCAGGGTAGCTGTGCCCCTGCCCCCACTTTTGAGAGGCAGAAAATACCAACTTTAAAAATGAGGAAGCAGGCTGCTGCCGCTGCCGCCTGCCATAGAACAGGGCTGGGAGAAGAAGCGCGCCACGCCCCGCTGAACATTAAGACATGATGGGCACAGTTTCCTCCCCTTTTTGCACGAAACGGCACGATGGCGAGGAAGCAGGGGCAGGCACAGTGAAAAAGCCGCCCGCCCATCAATCGTTGCCAGGACAGCTGGGCACCTCTTCTGAGAGAGAGCCACTTTAAATCCACTGAGCCTTGATCACACCTCTAAAAAACCCATCGGAGTTCTTCATCTTCTCCCCCTCAGCTCCCCAACCCCTCCGAAAAATAAATCAGGCTGTTGCTGCGAACAACACCCAAGGCTGCAAAACTCAGCTCCTTCCTGCTGCCTCTGTCTCTCTGCAGTAGGGAGAAATTCTCTCCAAAATTATTTTACATAATAACCAGAACCACCGAGGAGAAAGAAAAACCAAAGTAGAGGCAGTCAATGATCAATTCCTTCACCAGTGTCATCCGAACCCTCCAGCTTGCTGCAACCAGCAGGAGAGAATGAGAAAAACCGTACAGAACTAATCCCTGACCCTGATAAACGTGCACGTAAATGGTAAAGGCTCTACCCTTCCTTTGCTCAATACATTGATATTCAGCTTTCATTTATAGCCCATCCACCAAAATGATGACAGCAGCAGCCTTTCTCCAATCCATAGTCCCAAATCCACACTTATCTAATCAATTTTATAAATATAACAAAGAACTCCTCCTGTGCGGAGGGGGATGAGGAAAAGCAGCCTTTAATCTTCTTCCCCCTCAGTTTGTAATTTCTTCCTTGCATTTTATTCTTCCTTCGCTGCTGTGAAATGTGTGTCCCCCTTGCCTCGATGAAGAAGGAATACATTTTGCATGACAAGATCAGGGGGAGGGCTGCCTGCACACTCAACTATTTCTAACAGTCAATTGAGCTGCCAGCTTTCACCAGGCTGTCACACACTCAAACCAAAAAAGAAAAAAGCACGTACAGCATCTACACATATGTGAAACAGGCACACATGTATGAACAGATGGCGGTACTGGCATTTGCCTAATTCACTGTATGCTTCTTAGTTTAATAGTCTTGGCTGAGCATTTTTGCCTACCCCAATCTCCATTTTTTGTTCCTCTTGGCTCACTGTTTAGTTTCACATATATGTTTCTTTTTTATAGACAGGCAGCAGCAGCCCATAACAGGTTTCAGATAATATATTCTGGTTTGTTTATTTATTATATTCAAACTGTTACAGCTTTGTGTGGAAAAAGAGACTGCCTGCCAAATCCCAGTTGCTTAGTATTGGAAATGGAAAACATATCTTGGAGACAGTGTGTCAGCTTAACTGTATAAAATAGTGCAGATCAGCAAGATTCTACTTGTGTGTGAATATATTTATGCACATATACAGATTATATAACCTCAACAATTTTAAGTAATGACAGGATTGCCTATTATGAATCACTGATTGAATTATGCAAATGAGGAATTGATGGCTTGACCCTGCAAGGTGAAGTGTGCCCTCAAATCCCACTGATGTGCATGGAAGATTAGTACACTCCGCACTTCTGAAGAGGAGTTCACCACCTCAGAGGTTTAACTGAAAGGCCCTGGTATACTTAAGCATGTGACTAAATCATTACCTATTCAGGCAAGCACTTAAGTACATGCTTAAAATTAAGAGGCGTAAATGAATAAACAACAAAAATTAAGAGTGCATTGCAAAATGTACTCTATATTTATTTTAACATTGTTGATTTTATAACACTTCATAATATACAACTATAAATTATTTATATTGTGATAGTCCCAAGGGATCCCAATCATGGATCGGGGCACCATTCTGGTGGGCACTGAACAAACACAGAAAGATAGTCCTTGCCCTGGAGAGCTTACACTCTAAGTAAAGGTACTGTAGAATATCTTATAAAAATGTGGACATCTAGATCTCATTACAGCAATCTCCTATTAAATATTTCCTAGTAAGTGGATAAACCACCAGTTTGGGAAGTAATTATGAAGTATGCAGTTTATCAATATGCAGTTTATTTCTAGTCCATGACCCCAATCCTGCATAGATTTACTGCCTTCAATGGGAATATTCAGAGCGCAGAAAATTAAGAATGAATGTAAGTCTATTCCAGCTAGGGTGCTAGTTTGTATGTATGTGTACACATACACATGCATGTGTAACACCAATAGACCCTGTTCATCTACGGACAGGACTGAACCTAGGACCTCTGAAGCTTAGTGTATGAACCTCTACTGCATGAGCTAAAAAGCTAGCTGGCTCTTAGGTAAGCATAGGTGCTGCAACTAGGGGATATGCCACACCCCCTGGCTTGAAGTGTTTTCCATCATATACAGGCTCTCAGTGCCCCCACTATACAAATTGTTCCAGCATCCCTGTAACTAAGGCTGTAGCAGATTCATCAATCTCTAGCTAAGCTAGGTGCCACTAGAGGGGAACAGAGCACCACACCTAGCAGGCATAGGTTACACGTGCATACCTATTTATATATAGGTATGTTTGTGCACACAGCCATTATCTTGTGGTATAATATAGATTTTAGAAAACATTTTCCCTTTATTTTTTAAAAATGGAATTTATGACAAAGTGGAATTCCAAACATATTGTGTGTGTCATAAGAAAATATCATCTGTTACCACATACGATCTCTGGAAAAGAAATAGCCATCAAAATCTGTAAATTATACAATTGAATATGCTTATTTAGAGAATAAAATCTGGACCAAAGAACTAGTCTTGTTTACAGAAAGGCCTGTTTTTTTTTCATTTATTTTGCAAGTGTTATATAAAACAAAGGTCTAAACTATTTCGAATCTTATCATAGCTTGAGTAGGTTAAAACATCTTTGCACATGCACAGTGCCCTTGGAAATTTATTCAACACCTGCTAGTGTGGAAACCCATTTTTTAAAATCCAACTCTCCTTTTCATACAAAAAGTGGTTTTTCTCACACACCTTCTCTTGCCGTCGCTGTTATATCTGTGCATTCTGGGACTTCTGAAGCACTTTCCCCATAATCCTCGCTGCCCTTGTTGGAAATAGGATTGGGGGTAATTCTTAAATCTGAGGCAGTACATTTGTACAGCTTCCATGCTTGCAACTTCCTGTCCACACTGGGGAGAAATCATTCTACAGTGCACTAGATCAGCCTCAGCTGAGCTAAAGACTTATTTTCTGCTATCAGCTGATACAACCAATGTTTGTAAAACACTTGGGACAACTGTTGGCAAGGTATTATAGACTCAAAAATGTTGCAAGGAGAAGGTTTTCTTTGCATTCCAGTGGTTTCTTGCAGCATTTTTCATGTAATGTTGACAGAGTCTGTGAGGAAATAGCAACTCTCTCCTTCCTCCTTTCTTTGTACCCAGACAGCTGGATATACTTTGAAGGTTTTTAAAACATTCTTCAGTTGACAATTTTTCTTTTTACACTAATAGGAAAAGTGGACACAAAACATACTTGAATATTCTCCCTTTGATGCCAGTGCACACAATTTCTGCAGCATTAATGGAAGTTATGATAAAGGGGGAGGGACAATATGTATCCCATTTTTTCCCTCATTGGACAGGGGAAGGGAGTTGTTCCCAAAACAAGCACCTAACTTAAATCACACTCCTGGGCTTTCCATGCATCTTGTCTCTTCTGTGTCTGTCTTTTAGATTGTAAAATCTTCAGGACAGGGATGTCTTTATGTTTTATATAATGCAGAACAAATAATAAATAGTGATAATGGGTCATTTCATGTCATTTAAAAAAAAATCCGAACTCCCCACTGCATTTTGCTTAGAAATTAGTTACATAACATAACTCAATGAAGAGTTCAGCTTAAAAAAAGAAAAATCGATGGGATGATATGGGCTAATCATCTTCTGATCATTTTTGCCAAATGATTAATACATAAAGTCTTCACATTTCCTTCCTCTAGCCTTGCACCTACTATTTTTGTTTTTGTCTTCCTTGCTGCATTGCCTGATCTAGTTTTTTAGGGAAAGTGTCATGTCCTTTCAAAATGTATAATAAAGTGTCTCGTTTGTTTTGGATAATGTATAAATAATAATAGTAAATTAATAAATCCGTAATGACACTACAGTTTCCCATTTATTTTGCTTGTTGATCCCATCGTGTTTAACATATGATCATAACTGACAGGGATGGAAAGGGCCTTTTGCATCATACAGTTCACCCCACGGGCTAGTACACAACTGTACTCAGTGTTAAACCCACGAGTGTTTCATCATACTGAAATCTGATGTGGTTTTTGTAATCAATATGAAAAACTATCAAGAGCCTCCCAAAGCACTGGCAGCAATGTTTCTGTTTTTAATTATTCCTTCACTAGTAGTTTTCACTCTTGCTGCTCCATATTTTCTCCCAGTCTTTGTGGAGACATATACAAGCAACAAACCTCTCCGTGTTTTCTTCAGCAGGGACAGGATGATGAGTACGTGGGCATCAGCATCTAAAGTAAATTACTTTGCAAATTCTGGGAAACTAAAGATGAGATTAATGTCTGCTCCTGCATAACTCTAAATATAGCTTTTATGAGATTCATTTGACAGCAGTTGGCAGTGGTAAGAGGGTGGGGGGGAGTTAGACCCCATCAAACCCCTTCCCCCTCAGTTCCAGAATCACTGGCTCTAATTATGTTGACCTCCCCCCCACCCCCGACTTGTGAAGAGAAATCTGCATTTTTATGATCTTTACCAGCTCAATGCAGTACTTCAAAGCAACATGGTTGCAGGAACAAATACCACTGCATGATTCAGGGATTATTCCTTCATGGATTGTATTCATTGAAGGACATGTGATTCATCAGTAGCTGGAATGCATGGGCGGTGGGTATAATAGGCCAGGGGAGGCTAAGCCTCTCCTAATCCGGGCCCTGGCCCCATCCTCTCCCACAAGCTAGCAGGAGCTCAGCTCCAGCTGGAGGCCAGCAGGCAGCTGGGGCCGGCAGGCGACCTGGCATTGGGGGCGGTCGGCTGTCCAGGGTGGTTCGGCTGGAGCTCCTCCGGCCGCAAGTGAGATGGGGCTCTAGGGGCTCCGGTGGATGGGAGGGAGAGGGTGGAGAGGAGTGAGTGGGGGACGAGGCGGGGAGGGACCCTACTCATCTGGCACTACTCCTAGCTAGAATACCTATCTAATATTTCTCCACCTCATTGACTCTCCACCTGTACTGATACTTTAATTCATGTGAAAACCTCTCTCTTTTCCCTTGTCTGTACTTCTACCTCTGATATCATCTAATATTTGAAAGAAATTTAGGGATACAGTTTGTCTGAAAGCCATCATACCAAAACAGGGCCTGAAGACAATGGGACTACTCATGGTAGTAAGTATCTGTACTCTGTAGTAAGTATTTGAAGAATCAGGTCCTACATTTTCATTATATTGTACTTACAGACTTTGGACCAAATCCAGCCCTTTGCAAGTGGACTCAGCTTCAGCTGATGTTGAATCCACTTATGCAAGAGTGAATCTGGCCCATAAAATATACTGTGTTGTGTTTTCATAAACAGCACACTTCTTTGGCTGCTATGAGTAATTGGTTTCTATTATTGTTCGATCTCGCTACTTGAGAGCTTGTATGTCTCATTGTATGGCTTGTAAATCACTGTGATA